TCCCAGGGACACGAGTGGGGCACAATTGCTACCCCACCCCACCAGTCCCAGTGCCAATATCCCAGGAGAAATTTTCTAGGCCAGCTCTTGCAAAGGGGGAATTGCTGTCCTGGGGTTGGGGACTGAGGGGGACAGAGCCTTGCGTGTCCCTCCACGGTGACCCTCATAGGGGAAGAACCCATAGGGGCTTTTCATCCGTGCAGTGTCCAGGGGGGTTCACCCATGTTTGGGAGGTAGGGGTCTGCTGTGTCTCCTTACCCCAGCAGGCAGAGAGTGGGGGTGACTGTTGCCCCCTGTCACCCCCTGACAAGCCTCCCCAGACCTGCCACTAGGATCTGTCTGGCCCCACAGAGCTGAGCCCTCTGGGCAGGGCCCCTGTGACTTTATCTCCTGCCAGCTCCCAAAATAGCCCCTCAGTGGCACTTGGGTGAGCCTGGGTCCCCAGATGGGAAAAGGAGATGGGGTCCCCTGGGTTAACCTCTGCAGCACCACAGGCAGAGCCTGCTCCCACCCTGGCCCTGCCCTGCTTGGCTCTAATCCAGCCCTGAGCCCTCCTTGCCTGGGCTCAACACGGCCTGGGCACCCCAGCTGGCCCTGCTGCTGAGGGATGCATGAGGGATGGGGGGCCCTGCCCACCCGTGGTCCCAGGGAGGCTGGGCATGGTCACCCCACACCAGCTCAGACTCTTTTTCAGACTTTCTGCCTCACCCTGGCTGGGTAAACATCCCTCCAGCCTCAGCCAGCCCCGCTGGCCGGGCACACACGCGTGTGCACACGCATGTGCATGTGTACGCCAGCCTGTCCCACAGCCATGACCTTGGCGTGCTGCAGCCTGGCCGCTGCCAGCAGCACTCGGGGCAGAAGACACAATGCTGGCAGCTGCCGTCTCAGCCAGCGCCAGGGCTGGACCCATTGCTCCAGTGGCTGTGGGGTGGGTGAGTGGGGTGGCTCGCAGCCCCCAGCCCGGTCCCATGGGGTGCTCTTTGCCCCGCAGGTGAAATGCTACGGCTCGGTGCAGGGCACCATCTACGACTACGGGGCCTTGACCCTCGATGGGGAAGAGTACGTCCCCTTTAGGAATTACGCAGGGAAGATGGTGCTCTTCGTCAATGTGGCCACCTACTGAGGCCTCACCCTGCAGTACCTTGGTAAGGGTCCCATGGGGCATGGGGTCTCTGGGGGATGGGGCAGGCAGCCGAGGAGCAGGCAGCGTCATGCAGGCATGCAGCCCTTGGCAGGTCCCCATGGTCCGTCCTGCCCTGGGGAGCTGGGAAGGGGGTAATACCAGCACTTCAGCATGGTTGGGGATGCTCCAAGGGGGTGAGGGGTAAACCAGTCACCTGCTAACCCAGCCCGGGTTCTGCTTGCATGCAGAACTGAATGCACTACAAAATGAGCTGGGGCCCTACGGACTCGTCGTCCTGGGCTTCCCCTCCAACCAATTTGGGAAGCAGGAACCCGGCCAGAACTCGGAGATCCTCCCTGCACTGAAGTGAGTACTGCAGCGGGGGGCATAGAGTGCCTGCACCCCTGGCTGGGCTGGGGTTCCCATCCAGGCGGAGGGGGCAGAGGCTGCAGCCCCCGCCTGGCCCTGGCCCCCCAAACCCGGGGCGTGTGCTTCCTCCCCTAGTGCTGTGGAGCACCAATGTGCCTGTTGCATGACGCTCTGCCTGCCCTCCCCTTGCAGGTACGTCCGGCCAGGGGGTGGCTTCGTCCCCAATTTCCAGCTTTTCCAGAAAGGGGATGTGAATGGGGCCAAGGAGCAGAAGGTCTTCACCTTCCTGAAGGTGGGTGCCATGGCAAGGGGGGAAGAGGGGGCAGCACCCAGCTTGTTTTTCTGGAGGAGCAAGGCAGTGATGCACTGGCCCCTCATTGCAGAACGCCTGTCCTCCGGTGGCGGAGGAGTTTGGGAACCCCAAGAACCTCTTCTGGGAGCCCCTGCGGAACCACGACATCAAGTGGAACTTTGAGAAGTTCCTGGTGGGCCCCGATGGAGTGCCCGTCCTGCGCTGGTACCACCGCGCCAACATCGCTGTCGTCAAGAATGACATCATCGCCTACATGAGGCAGCAGCAGCAGCAGCAGCAGCAGCAGGAGGAGGAGGAGGAGGCAGCCCAGTAGAGGCTGGGGCCACCAGCCCAGGGGGTGGCTTCTCCCCACCGTGGGGCTGCTCCCTGTCCCATCCCCTCTTGGGATCAGTCCCCTCAGTCGCTCCTGTCTCTGGCAGCCCCCAGCCACGATGCGGGGCTGGGTAACCCGGTGGCAGAGACCTCAGTGACAGGATGGGGACATTTCCCAGTAGCCCCATGTCCCACCTCCACCCCCAGCAGTGACATCTCCTCCTGGCCACCAGCTTGTCCCCCTTGTGCCCCCTGCTCTGCCATCCCGCCTTGCCGGGCACCAGGGGGATGCAGGGGCTGGCCGCCCCTGGAGTGGAAGAGGATGTCCTGATGAAGGCTGAGCCCGAAAGCCCCCAGGGCGGGCCTGGCCTGATCT